TGAGCGTCGGGCACAGACCCTGTCCTTTTCCTGCCGCCGTCCTGGGTGTTTCTAAGCGAAGAGCCCATGGGCATCTGTACGGGGCCGTGTCATGGTCTGCAGTGCCCACTGCAGGATCCCGTCCCAGGAGCTCTGTGGGTAGCACCCAAGCATCGCTGTTTTGCCTCTCTTCATGGCCAGCACCCTTCCGTCGCGCTGGGGTTGCTTGTCCCACGTGGGCTGTGCGCCGGTGCCTGTTTTGGTCAGGCACAGCCCCCCTCGGTGATTTACCTCGCCCAGTAGCGAGTCGAGCTCCTCCCTGCTCAGGACCGGGTCGACACCAGCGTCATCGCTCGCCTGGGGAGAGAGGGCAGTGGGTACCGCCGCCTTGGGGCCGGCAGGCGGAGCCGGGGTCCTGCCCCTTTCGCGGGCTGTCTTTTCTAGCCTTCTGGCCATGCTCCTGCGACTGTCCTTGGCGCGTGTACGTGCAGGGCACAACCCCCAACCCAGGCACAGCCCAAACATGCGGCTCGTGCCCCACGTCTCCCCGTCCCTGGGGGCCATGTCTTTCCAGCGTGGCACAACTTTGGTGACTGCTTTGTGGCCACCAGGGGCTCATCCCCCACCACCACCCTGCCGGTTGTTCCTTGTCTCGATAGTTGGGCTGTTGGTTGCCTCGAATCGCTTGTACTCCGGCTAAGCTCGTCTGTACATCTGTCGGGGCACTGCGCCTCGCTGCCTGCCTGCCCTCTGCCCTCCCCACCCCGCCCTGGGCAATGCTGTGGCCGTGGTGGTGGTACTCACCTTCGCCGCCTGTAGCGGGTGGTCTCCAATGACTGTGACTCCCTCCAGGTTGGCCGTTTCCGGGCTGGCCGCGCAGGACTTGCATAGCAAGAGCCCCCTGCGACAGCATAGCAGAAAGCGTCAGGGTGTAGTGCGGAGCCGGGTGTGCGTGTGTGTGTGTGCGTGTGTGTTCCAGGTTGGCCGTTTCCGGGCTGGCCGCGCAGGACTTGCATAGCAAGAGCCCCCTGCGACAGCATAGCAGAAAGCGTCAGGGTGTAGTGCGGAGCCGGGTGTGCGTGTGTGTGTGTGCGTGTGTGTGTGCATGTGTCCTGGCAGCAGAGTCGGCCCCGCGGCAGAGGTGGTGGCGGTGGTGGGGGACCCAAGGGGCTTACCCT